ACATCCGAAAATTCCCACAATCTATACATAGACTCGCCCGAAGATTACAACTTGATCTTATCAGTCCTAAAGAACAAAAAGATTAATTTTTTCACGTACACTCCCAGATACGAGAAACCACAAACGCTACTGCTAAAAAACCTAGAAGGAAACTATGACCTCGACACTATTCTAGAAGCACTTAACAATCATCAAATTAAAAATTTGCATTTCCTAAAAGTCAATAGATTCACTACAAAAAAATCAATAGTACAAAACCAGCAACTGCCAATATATACAGTCCATTTAACGCCCGAAAGCAATCTGAATAATCTATCCCTTATCAAAAAACTACTGCATCAAACAATAAAATGGGAAAAACTTAAATATAAAGAGTTAACACAATGTTGGAAATGCCAACGTATAGGACATTCTTCTTCCAATTGCAATCTAACATTTAGATGCGTTAAATGCGCAGAAACACATGAACCGGGCAAATGCATAATCACCTCCCCGCAAGAAAAACTTGAACAATTCAAATGCGCGCTATGCGGACAAAATGGTCACCCCGCCTCGTACCGAGGCTGCCCATTCGTCAAATCACATAAACAAACACTAGCCAAGAAGCAACAGAATCAAATCGACATAAGGAACGAAAAAATAGCCAAAATACAAAAACTGATAAACCCCGCAATATCATACAGTCAGATAACCGCCAACCACCAACCAATTTCACAAATAACCACCTTACCTCCCACCCCACAAAGACCTCCGGCACCGGCCCCTCTAGCAGCCCCACCAATACCAGCGCAACCATCAACAAACATCAACAACACCACGTATACATATACAACCAACGCCACACCTACCATGTCGCATCAATCACCACCGCTAAACGAACTTACAAACATACTCACAGAGATAAAAAATCAACTTCAAGCCCTACACCAAGCAGTCCAACACAATGCAAACAACATCCACCTACTCTTCCAAAAATGCCAAGCCACAAACATCATCACCAAAAATGGATAATACCCAGGCAATAATCACAAACAGACAAATTAAAATAATAGCACTTAACATAAATTCTCTAATATCGATCCAAAAAAGATCCAGTCTCCTTCAATTAACAAGGAAACATAATCCAGACATCATCCTCTTAGGAGAAACTAAACTCAATAACAGACACAAAATATCATACACCCAATTCACAATACACAGAACAGATAGAAGAAATGCCATACAGGGAGGAGGTACAGCCATACTAATCAAGAACACAATTGAACACAAAAAAATACAACTTCCTGAGTGTCAGAATAATCAAATAATTGAAGCAACAGCCATAAGGATAGACCTCCCGAACCAAGAGAAACTAATAATAATATCAGCCTACGCCCCAGGAAATAACAAAATAGAGTTTATACAAGAACTAGAAAACCTAATCACTAAACTAAAGCTATCCAACCCAAATACCTACTACCTAATAGCAGGCGACCTTAACGCTAGACACACATCCTGGAATAACACAACGAACAACAACAGAGGCACTCATCTCAAAAAATGGCTAGACCTAAACGCAATAAAGCACAACGTCCAATTACGCAGCTCGAACCTCCCATCATATCCCAGCGGTAACTCCTACATAGACATATGCCTACACGATGCAAGAATTCAATTCCACAACCTAATCAACCAAAAACTATTAACCGTTCCTTTCGACAGCGACCACAACGCGATCATCTTCACCATATCCATAGACAACATCACACACCTAAACCAAGCATCTCCAGAAAGACGCGCCAACTACGCTAAGGCGAACTGGCAAAAATTCAAAAAAGCAGCAACACACGAAGTAAAAGACCTTAAAATATCGCACGACAAAAACCTATCCAACCAAGAAATCGACAGGTACTTAGATCAACTAGAAAAAGCAACACAAAAAGCAATAGACAAGTCCATCCCAACAACCAAAACAACAAACTCCTCAGAAATATATTTAAACAAGAAAATAAGAAACCTCCAGAAAAACAAAAACTATCTGCTGATCCAACTACACAAAATAAATAATTTCAAAGACCACTCATCTACCCAACTAAAAAAGACAATCCAGGGCCTCATCAAAGAGATAAAAACACAAATAGGAGCAGAATTTGGGAAAGCAATTAACGCACACTGGAAAGATAAAATCACACAAGTTGCTCTAAAAGGTCCAACAAATCCTTTTCAACAAATCAACAACGTATTCAAAACAAAAAGCACCTCCTCTCAAACAGGAAATCTCACAATCAATAAAAACAACCAACACCTCATACAAACAGCAGAAATAGACACTACATTACTAACGCAAAACAAAAACACTTTCACAATAACAGACACACAAAACAAAATCAACGTCTTAGGAGCCCACTTCGAAATAACCCATAGCCAAAACAAGCACTTGGGCAACTCACAACTTAAATCAATAATAGAAAATAAAACACACACTATAGAAAAAGATCTCAAGGAAGAAGCCGCGACACAAAAAACCTTAACAACCTTCTCAACACAATCCCCAGCTTACAGCCCCACACCCGAAATTCCCACAAATGCCTTCACATGTCAACTTGAAATAAAGAGCATACTCAAGAAAACGAATAACAAAAAATCAGCTAGTTTTGACAGAATCCCCAATACAGTGCTAAAAAACCTACCAGG